CATAGTTGAGAAGAAGAAGAGGCATATCTGATTAATGTTTTAATAGAATCTTTGTTTTTGGTTTTCTTTAGGCTATCACAAAGTACCTGGAACATTCAAAGTATTTACCGAAGCTTAACAATGAGATACCAAGCCAAAGAAACGCAACTTACAAGAACCGTTTCTCAAGCTTACACAACTTGGTTCTTGTCATGGTTCGTCCACTACATTTTTTAATCTCGGAATAAATCCATTCTCTCTTGTTGATTGATTCTGTTCTATTGTTTTACAGTTTGAGAACGATACGGTAATTGTTCCAAGAGATTCGTCTTGGTTCGGTTTTTACCCGGATGGTGGTGCAAATCAACCACTTCTCTCTGTACAACAGACAAAGCTCTATACAGAGGATTGGATCGGTCTGAAAACGTTGGATGTTGCTGGTAAAGTGAAGTTTGTAAGCATATCTGGAGGACATCTCCAAATGGCAACTCGTGATATTGTCAAATACGTTGTGCCTTATCTCCAAAACCAACAAACGACCGCAAAAGGAAGGAACCATTGTTGTTATTAAAGGACCAAATACCTCATTTGTTATATGCCATAGTGAAAAAGCTTAGTGATGTTTGTGTAGAACAAGAATCGTCACCTATTCATATAAATAATAAATATACATACTATCTGAATTATCTAATTTTAATCTCATTTTCTTATCGAGGATCGATTTTGCTAGCTTGCCAGCCCTTGTTCGAAGAGACCGAGCAAAAGAACTGAGTGTATATCCGAGTCTATTGTTGCCTTGTCGATTTCTTATACACAAGGAAACAGTCGTGATAACTTTGATCAGAGCTGACTTAGGGTATTGGGTCATGACAGTATGACTCATACATGTTCTGAATGCAATCACAATGGTCACAACTATCCAACATGTCTTTAAAGAGGTGAAGCTATTTGGTTTTAGACTCATCGATCCACTCAGAAGTTAAGTTGAGTCAAAATTCCCAAGTATTCGGGTTCTGGATCGGATGATGGTTCATTTTCAAATTTGCACATTGGG